GTGCCTGCCGCGACTGCCCCCACGACCCGCCCTCTGTGCTTCTAATTTCTACTTTTCTTTTCCCGCTTTTCTTCGTTTGTAGTCGTCGCCCCCGAGCCTCCCGTCGCCTGCCGCTGTGCAAGTGGCCCCTGCAGCCGCGCAGTGATTAGACACTGGATGTACTTGTCCTCCACCGACGTGTGCAGCGTGCACTCGAACTGATGCAGAAGAACATCCCCATGATCAGCGCCACCGTGTTCCCTTTCTTTTCCTCGTTTTCACCCTCCCCTTGTCTATTGGCAGCCCCGCAAGGGCCCGTTGAGTGGGATGTCACGCCTTGCCTCGCGCGGGGGCGTCCCAATTAAGGCGCCCAAGAACCATTGATTAGCCACGCCTCACTCTGGGCCGTCACGGTTGTCTGTCGGTGACGGGATTGATGTGCAGTGCTGTGTGTGTGTGTGTGTGTGTCTTCAGCTTTCATTGACCCCGCTCCTTCTTTGCTTGTTGTGTTTGCTTCTCAGGTAGTATTGTTTTTTTTTTCTTCTTACTTCTGTATGATGGCATGGCACTTTTTCTTGGATTCTTGGAAACATGCACGGAGACTCTTGGGTCCTACCTGCAGCTTGTCCAACCGGATGTGAAGTGGACAATTGCGTACGTCGTTTTTTTCTTGTGGATGTATTTGTTTCACGCCCCGTTCCGCGTTCACAGCAACTGTGTAACCGACTGGTATGCGCAGCTTACGAAGGTGCTTCAGGCGTGGTTTGGCATTGTTGTGCTGGTCTTCCATGTGGGCCCGCTTTTTTTCTTCTCCAGGAGGCCCTCAGGTCCGGTGTTGGACGTAAATGATGAGGCGACGGAGGCCACAGTTTTTTTCCCAACATTTTGCGCGACAACACTCATCATCTTGTACATTCACAAGAAGAAGCGCGATTGGGGGTTGAGTCTTACGTACGGGTCGACCGTCACGATTGTTCTTCTGAACGCACTGTTGCTCTCGTTCTTTTCTACAGTACACTACGCGTACTGTATGCAGCTCCAAGCGCGTGATCGCCAGGCGTGGGTTATGGGCGTGGTGGATCTGATCTGCCCTGCGTCGGCGAGGCAGGCTCCTTTCCTGACTTTGTCGCTGCTGGTTATGTTGAATGTTCTTTTTATAGTGCTGGACTACCAGTACAAGAGACTGCGTGGGTTTGACCCTGTGCGCGGCTTGCTGTGGAGCGAAGCATTTGATACGCGACAGGGCGGGAATGAGGCGTTTCTTGCGCTTAAGCCTGGCGTGGATTGGCGGAGGTCGCAGCCGCGTCCTCGGCGTGTGTCGACGTGGAGGGGCACACCGGCTGTGGGGTCCACGGAGGCTTTGAGGCGGAGCTTCGCTGCGCCACAGGCGGAGATGGAGTCGCTGATGGCCAGCGTCTACCCCGTGAACCGGCCCGGCATGGTGCCGTGGTTCTCGACCTTTATTGTAGGCACGGCGGTGCAGGCGGTGTTGGGCGCAATGCTGAATTTTTTGACGTTTGATCAGCGCGGCCTAGAGCTGCACGCCGCCCCCAAAGTCTTTCATCTTTCCTTTGAGCACCAAGGTGGCGCGGGCTCGAGTGCAACGAGCGACGCGAACTCCGCGAGATCCCCCTTTAATGCACTCGCGGGCAAGGCGAAGCGTGCGGGGGGGCATCCCGAACAGCAGGATGTCGACGTGTGGTTTGACTTCATTGGGGATGTTGGCGACGGCTTCAACTCAACGTATGAGATGGCCCGACTGATGGCGCAGCCGGCGCTGCTGCTGCCGACAACAGCCAGTGTGAAAAACTCACAAGGTGGAAGAGGTTATCAGCGCATCACCCCAGCGCCGTTTCTTAACCGGGCACGCGCCCCGTCGTTGCCGCCGTCGCCGTTGTTGCGCCATATCTTGCTTCCGGAAGCCAGTACCAAGGCGTCAGTGGACCGTTTGCCACTCATGGTGGACGACTATATGCCGAGAAACTCACACTATCTTCCGCGCGCGTCGTTCGTGCTCATCGGCGGGGACCTGGCGTACCCGAACCCCACGGACGAGACGTATCGAACGCGGCTGCAGGGACCCTATGAGGACGCACTGGGGGGGAACGCCGAACTGCGCAGGCTGGTGGCGCAGCGATACCGTGAGGTGGTGCTGTCCAGCGTGGCAAACAGTGATGAGGCGCATGTGAGCATGCTGCCCGCAACAAGGGTGGATGCGATGGTTCGCCGCGGGGGTTTGGTGGGCGGGGGCTACAGTGACGAAGACGTGCTGCGCAGTGTGCCGCTGCTTTTTGCCATTCCGGGCAACCATGACTGGCTTGACGGTCTCGTGACGTTCAAAAAGTACATTATAGCGGAGAACTGGCTTGGAGGATGGCTGATGCCGCAGCGCAGCTCCTTTTTTATTTTGACACTTCCATACAACTGGTATATATTCTGCGGAGACACGGGGAACATCGCCGATATTGACTGCGATCAGCGCGATTACTTCTTGAAGTTTATCGAGGTGAACCTCAACGATGAGGCGTGCGCCATCGTGACTTGCCACGAGCCCGCTTGGGTGCATGAAGCTATGGACGGCACCCGCACTTCGCCGATGCAGCCGCAATTGAACAGGGTGCTCGAGGCCCTCGGGACGCGGCTGCGACTTCGACTAAGCGGGGACATTCACCATTATTCACGGCACACGCCTGCCGACGCTCTCTCCGACGCTCCGACGCTTGTTGTGAGTGGCGGCGGTGGTGCCTTTCTGCATGGGATGTGCAATGCGCTCGTCGTGACACAGGGGACCGAGTACAGGCGGTCATCAGCATTTCCGTCACGAAATGTGCTCACGTCGATTCTCGCTCGCCTAGTTGGTTTTCGCCTCATCAACTGGAAGTTTGACATCATTGCGGGGTTTTTGTGCTTTGGCCTCATCATGTCCGCTCTTCCGCTGACGATGCAGGACGAGCGCATGCGGGGTGTCACGGGGCTCCCACAGTACGTTGTGTGTGTCGCTAGCCTTACGCTAGATCTGACACTCTTCACGTTTGAAAAGGCTGTTGTGTCGTTGCTTTTTCTCACGTTTATTTTTGTCGTCTTCTTCTCCGGTGGGGCAGGGCAGAGGAGTGTGGTATTCCGTCTGTTTTACGCCTCGTACTGGACACTGCTTGTGGTGCTCTGCTCCACGGGCGTGCTGGCCGTGGTACACACCACGCTTATCTACATGACAAACCGCCGTATGCTTCTGTCGACACGGGGGCACTGGGGTAGTATGATGGAGGTTCAGGTGCGCAGTGCCGCCGATACCGCGCTGGTTCGCACGAGGGATGTGCTTGGGGAGGACAATGTGGTTGCGTCTGCGCTCAGGAGGGCGCAGCTTGCGGTGCACGGCAGCTGGCTTGTTGAGAGCGTCTGTATTTTTCTGCGCGGTTTAGATGTTGTGGAGAATTTGGCGTATCTATCGCATCACGTCAGTATGAACGTAACAGGCACCTTCTCGCCATCGACTGACCGTCTGCACATATTCCTCTACTACCTTCACCTGCTTCTGATTTACTGGCTGTTGGCGACCCCTCTCATCTCATTTGTAATTGGGATGTTTCTGTTTGTGTCGGTGCAACTATTTGGCTTCATGTACGACGCGGCGTATTCCTCCTTTCAGATAGAGGATTACAAGCACTTTATCCGCTTCAACATCGACAACCAAAGACGGCTTCATGGCTACGTTGTAGCGGAGAGGCGCGTGCCGAAGGTGTGGAAGCGTGACGTAAAACATGTTGACGAGTTCCTAAGCCCGGAGAAAAGGCACCTTCCGCCGCATTTACGCGAGCGGCCGAGTCGGTGGCAACCGGTGCAGTCAGACGGGGAGGAGTCCGTGGCTGAGGTGCTGGAGCACTTTGTGGTGAAGCCGCACCGACTCTCAGGTCATGCTTCAGCAAACAATGGCGTGGAGTAGGGCCCCGTTTTCCTCCGTTCCATGGTTCTTCTTGTGTCCGCGTTGCGTGTGAGATGGTTTGTGCGGCGGCCACCAGCTTGCACTCTTTTTTTGCGCAAGCGAGCGCTTTTATTTCGATTTACCTTCAATTATTTTTCTCTTTTCTTTGAGGTGGAGGGGGGAACGTGTGTAGCATCGGTGTGAGTGAGTGAGCGAAATAAGGAGAGAGGTACTGCGATGGTGAGAGTGTAATTGGGGGTTTTACGCCAAACTCAAGCCTCTGGATTCACGGATCCCGCAGCGCCCATACAACTGTCCTTGCAAATAGGGATATTGTTGTGTATGTGTGTGGCTGCACACGTAGTTTCTTGCTCCGATTGACTTCTCCTTCTCCTTCTCCTTCTCGCTGCCGCTGCTGCTCCGAGAGAGAAAGAGGGCGAGCGGTAAGGGGTAAGGGGGTGATCAGGAAGAACACACTTTGCATGTCTGTATACTGCCGCGTGGCCCACCCGCACCTTCTGCTGAAGGCCCTGGCCGTTCTCACTATGGCGAAGGATTCGTGGGTTACCGTGGCTTTTACGGAAAGTATTGTTGTGCTGCATGTCGAGGGAACTGATCAGAGCATCACTGCCACCGCCACCCTCCCCAAGGCGATTTTCTCCGAGTACTCGGCGAAGGATGTGTGTTTCTCCGTGCACCTCGCCACTCTGCGCGACGCGCTTCTACTCGGCGGACCCGCCTTGTTAGCCCCTGTCGGGTTGGCGCGCATTGTTTTGGCATACCCGATGAGTGACGCCAGGCTGCTCGTTGAGCTGACGGATGGGGACTGCACTCTGCAGTCGACCCTTGCCACACGGCCGGTGAAGGAGCGGTTGCTGGACCTTCGCTTCGGAGAGGCCCAAGTAATGAATCAGATGGTGCTGCTGGGCGATGCGGCACGCGATGCTATTGAGGACCTGGTTGTGGCGCAGTGCCCCCATGCGGTGGTTGTGCTGGACCCTGATATTGGCGTTACGCTCCGCGGTGAGGGCGGCCCCTACGGCGCGGTGACGGTGCAGTTGCGGCGTTCCTCGGAGGTGATTTTGTCGGCACTCGAAGGGGGCACGCGCGCCCACACCCGTGTTCTCCGGTCGCACCTTGCACTCGCCTGCGGGGTGCGCCCCGGCGGCAAACTGTGGCGTGCGGCTGGTGCGGTGGCGGACACCGTGCCGGGGTTGCAAGGTGCTTCCAGCGGTGCCGCGCAACCGGCATTTGGTGGGTTTGAGCGGCTTATGTTTCAGGTGAACGAGGAGCGTCAGCTCTGTGTGGTGCACATGCCGCGGGATCACGGCGTTTCTGTGAATGTGACTGTTGTTGTGTCTCCTCTTTGTGGTTTGTATGACGAGTGAGGCATGCCCCCGCCGTTCGTGGTGCCTCTTTGGAGTTTGGTGTCCGTGTGCGCAGATCCCTACTTGTACTTGTCGCTGGTGCCGTGTTTGCGTGAGGAGGTGGGGGACGTTTTGGGTTTTGCCCCACCTACAGAGCATACAAGTGTCCCTCACCAGTGAATAACGTATGATATTTGCTTTCCTTGTTTGATGGGGCGCTTGCCGTGTTTATTGCTGTGCATTGTGCAGTCCATCCCTGCCTTGTTTTTGCTTACGGTGTTGGGTTAAGAAGAGCTGCTCTGTTCCAAACCGAAGGTCTTAGTAAGTGTCACTTGTCATTCGCACTCCTTTTCAATGCACCACGAGAGAGCCACTGAGACACGTGACCCGTCGGCGCCGCTCTCTCGTCGTTTCTTGCTGTGCTCTTTTCGCGGCTGTCTTGTGCACGCCGATGTGTGCCGTGGCGTACAGCGTGCGCTGCAGCGCCTTCAGATCCCCTATCCCCGTGAGCGCACGGTTTTTTAAGGTTGGTGTTCCTGGCGGGGCAGTGGCTACACTGATGCCATTGCGGGAGAGCTTTCCGAAACTGGTCTTTGAGGCTTTTACGAAGCAAGGATTTGTCTATGCTCCCAGTGGTGGGTGGTGTCCGTACGCCTCCTGTACGACCTGTCCATGCGAGTGGGTCTTCTTCGCTGGTCCGATGAACATGACGCCAATTGGTACGGCAAAATTATTCAAGGGGACCGTGTATGGTAATAGCGGCCACACACAGTCCATACCTGGCATGTGCAACAACTCCCTGAAGGGACATCAGCCAAAAAGTTTCCTTTGAGTGCAGGATGAGACCATCACGAAGATGGTGATAGATGGAACGTGGGTGAACGAGAAGCGTAATCACGGGTACCTGAGTTGGATCTGCGAGTACTACGAGTTCACACCTGAGGAGACAGCCACGGCACCTGTAACAGATGAGAATGGTTTTGTTGTTTTCGTGCCCAAGACCAAGCCTGGCAAGTTCCCCTTGTGGGCGGGCCTGCCTATTGTGCTTCTCACCGTGGGTGTCGTAGCCGCTATTGTCGTCATCTGCTGCTGCTGCCATAAGCGCCGTCAGCAGCAGCAGGGAGAGGCGGTGGAGAAAGAGCTGGGGAATTAAGAAAATCTCCATCGGATTCCAATGCGGTCCCAGCTGGGCACGAGGCGCCGAGCTGACGCGGCAGCAACATGTATGCAGACGCTGGCGTCAATGAAAGGGCTTTGGCATGGGACAGTAAGCAGGGCACAGGCCGCGGGAGGTGGGTTGTAACAACGACGTTTACGTTAATAATGCGCATTCAGGCGATGCAGGTGCCCCATGTGGGACTGTTTTTTTTTCCGTTTTTTTTCCCTTTCCCCCTGTGATGCCGCCTACTTACGCATGTGTCCCCCTCGCTGTAACGTTGTCCAATGCGGCAAAGAGTCCGGGGCCATGTGCGTCGGCAAGCAGAGAGCTAAATTTTTTTACTGAGTCTGTGGGCTGCCCGAGGGAAAGGAAAAGTGGGCTGTGTGTGTGTGAATGTACGCACGCACTGCAGGAGGAGGAGGTGCACATGGAATGAATGAAATAAATAAACTTATCACCTATCGCTGTCCCTTCTTGCAGCATCGCTTCCCTCTTTTTTTTCTTTTGTTACCTCCCTGTTTTTTGGTTTGTTGTTTCTAAACTGGAGTGGAAGGGGAAGTAAGCTGTGAGCCCGCCACACTTTTGTGCGTGGTGTACGTCGGCTTCCCTGCGGTGTGCGTGTTGGGTGGGTGTGCCTGTTGAGGGCGCCTTTGTGTGCCTGCCGCGATGCCCCCACGACCCGCCCTCTGTGCTTCTAATTTCTACTTTTCTTTTCCCGCTTTTCTTCGTTTGTAGTCGTCGCCCCCCGAGCCTCCCGTCGCCTGCCGCTGTGCAAGTGGCCCCTGCAGCCGCGCAGTGATTAGACACTGGATGTACTTGTCCTCCACCGACGTGTGCAGCGTGCACTCGAACTGATGCAGAAGAACATCCCCATGATCAGCGCCACCGTGTTCCCTTTCTTTTCCTCGTTTTCACCCTCCCCTTGTCTATTGGCAGCCCCGCAAGGGCCCGTTGAGTGGGATGTCACGCCTTGCCTCGCGCGGGGGCGTCCCAATTAAGGCGCCCAAGAACCATTGATTAGCCACGCCTCACTCTGGGCCGTCACGGTTGTCTGTCGGTGACGG